TAGCTTTTTTTCCCCAAAACTTTGTCTTCAAAATAAGGGTGCGTCTTATACACCGGTGCATCTTATATTCCGAACAATACAGTAACTAGTGTTTGCAATAGTTTTTTTTACTTTTTAGCCTCCTCATATAATGCAAACGCTTTGCATCCTTTGCTAAAATTTAGTAAGAATATTCATAACACATAACTATTTTAAGATAATAGTCCTTAAAAAGTTACAACTCATCAAAAGTTAAATATTACTCTACAGTTTTTAATTTCTTAAAATAATAATTTTATTTATTGCTTATTAAAATAACATTTTATTATAATTTATAGCTCAGTCAAATTAAATTGATGCGATAAGGCTCAAAGAAGCTCATGAAACAGTTTCTTCTTCAGGGTGTGTTTTAAACAACTGTTTATGATTGAGACTTAGTTTTCTTTAATGTATTTAGTCATTAGAAAGAAATATTGTCTTTAATTTAGAAAAATAATGTTAAATGAATTCAAAATTAACTATTTGTGAGAGTATTTGGTGTGTTCCTGGTTGGATGAAATGTTCTTGCACCTTTTTTTGGTGAGTGTTACATTTTTCTGGTTACATAATATTATTTACCACTGATCAATTATTTGATATCGTGCAGAGTAAAACCATTTGTATGTAAGACCTCATATACAGTAATAGGAAAATGCTTTGTTTGCATGATTCTTTTCCTATTTCAGTGAGTTTAATCCCAAATTAATGATACATTATTTCATGTTAACTGCAGTTTTATTTTTAGTTACTTATAGTAACAGTTATTTAACTTTAAAAATGAAAACTTCTTAGGCTTAACAATTTTTTTTTACGTTAGGCTTTTGACCAAAACCAGTCTCTTTGAGCCTTTTTTTGCTTTATAAAAATATTTGTCTTGCAAAATATATTGTTTCTGTTTGTATTTCTCTTTTATCATCTATGTCAATAGCTAGTAAGGTATTCTTAAAACAAAGAAAAAAAAAGCTTTTATGGCATTTCACATTTTAGTATATTCCATGGAGCTTTCATTATGCTATGCCTACATTACCAAAAATTTGTCATGCTGCACATTTTTCAGATCTTTCGTGAGTTCATGGATTAGGAAACATTGAATTTTCTTTTTAAGTAGTGTTTTTTATTGTAAATAAAGTTGAATTGCTAGTTTGTGATTGTTTTAAAACTTTTTATGAGCATGCATGTTTGCTGAAATTAATGACATTAGCTCCTGGATACACTTGTTATAAAACAATCTGTAATTATCTTGCAGCTGAAATCATTGTGGAAACAGTGTATAAAATGTAATGAGGCTGATATGTATTAGAATACTAACATATTTCAGTTGAATTATATATTACCCTTTCAGCATGGGATTAAAATGGGTATTTTAATGAATATTGTGCATATTTCGTCCAATAAAAGCCCATATTATAGCCTGGTTTTATTTAACTTAGTTTTAACTGAAAACATTAAATGTTTGAACATAATACAAATAAAATCAAACTGTTTTAAATATAAACTGTGATGTTGTACAACAAATTAGTAAATGTATTAGATTTTCAAATTATGCTTTAAAGTAGTTGCTTTTTAATTTTGATAGGAAAATTTATTAAAATGATTTTATGT